TACTTTGTGGTTAAATTACTTACCCCTAGGGGTAAACTATGTGCAAGTTACAGCCTGGTTCAATCAACTTTTTTTTCACTTAGTTCGCTACAGGAATTTTACCCCACACATATATATATATATATATGATAGAACAAAAATCTAAGCGCAAAAAACGATTCTTCTTGTATTTTTTAAATAAAATCTAGTATTTTTCTAAATCAGGGAAAATTCAGGAAATTTTATTACAAGTACTGGAAAAAAATTACTACGATAATTCTGTTTTCTAATAACGTTAATTCAAATTTTGACTTAAGAATTTTTTTTCTAATTTTTTACTAATTTTAACTAATTTAATAATTGCAATAAATATAGAATTTTTTTTAATTTTCATCAATAAAAACATTTATTAAATTTTTTATATTTAAAAATAATTTAGTTTTGAAAAATAATTAATTTAATTTATTTAGGGTCAGTTGGGGTAAATGGGGACAAGAGGTTTTAGAGCTTAATTTACAATTTTAAAATTAAGTTCAACGTCAATATTTTAACCTCAGATCACCTGCAAGAGGTTTTGAGTATTGACAAGCTTTAATGTTGACAATTGGCAGCAAGATAATTCAAGTTATCGCTCAATGCATAAAAACTTGAAAATCAAAGTCAAACTGTTTCAGTATTTTGTCGAGCATTTCAAAGAAAATAGACTTAAAAATCACACAAACATTTTTTCTTATTCCTTATGACTCCCATAAAAGAAATTCACTTGAATTTTTGTCAATTTTGTTAATAATAACAAGCTATCCCAATTTACCCAGAGTTTTCAAATTTTTGGGGTAAATGGGGACAGCTTGTTATTATTAACCAAATTAACAAAAATCAAAAATTCAAGTGAATTTGTGTTATGGGAGTTATAAGGAATAAGAAAAAAATTTTGTATGATCTTTAAGTCTGTTTTTTTCAAATGCGAGACAAAATACTAAAATAAAAAAAAATTTAATTGGTTCAACTATTACATATCTACTACAAATTTTTTTCAAGTTTTTTCATCCCTTAATACAGTAATATACTTAAGAAAACTTTTTTCTTAAACTTTTGTTAGAAACTATGCTGTCCCCATTTACCCCAAATTTTAGGAAATTTTATAAATCTTGGGGTAAATGGGGACAGCCAGTTTCATGCGTTTAAAGCTTATCTAAATTTTTTTCTGCTGCATAAAATTAATCCTGGGAATGTAAATAACAACTTAAAAAAATAAACCCGCAAATATTACCATTTAATGGAAGAAACTTACGTAATTTGTGAAAAATAGCAATTTTGTCCCCATTTACCACAACTGACCCTAATGAAATACAAGCTTCATTAAAATTATTTTAAAAATTGCAAATAATTGAATTTTAGTTTCATTAAGAAAAATGAAAGTAATTTATTTGGCGATGAATTTCACTCAATTTTTTTAACTAATTAAATTTTGGATTTTATTTTTTTTAATAAAATATTAATATTAAAATATTTTTTTAATAAAAAATAAATAAAGTTCAATTAAAAACAGAAATTGTATATATTACTTTCCTGGCAAAAATAGGATATGTTGTATAAATTTTTTTCTATTATTTTTATTTTATTTTTTCTTTAATAATAATCAAATTATTAAAAATTCTTAATGATTTTAAAAATAATGGTATATAAATAATCACTCGCGCTTTACCGCGCGTATATTTTGCTAGTTCAATTATTATAGTAAAATTAAATTATAATTAAATAAAAAAAAAAATAAGACAATTTCTGTTAATTAAAATTTGAATTTAAATAAGAAGTAATTTTTTTATAAGATTTTTTATTTTCAAATTTTTTCATTACTTTTAAAAAAAGTACTGAAAAAATAAGATTAATAGTATTTGCTTTCATATTGAATTAATTTTATATAATTGGGAAAAAGTTTTGTTCAATAATTGAGAAAATATTTTTTTCCTGCATAAAATTAAGAAAATAATTAATTAAAGACATTAATTAATCAACTGACCTTAATCTTGCCGCTTTGGTTTGTGACAATCTTTTTCCGCTAGTCCGATATTTTCCACTTTTCCTTTTGTGCCATGCGTTCAAAACTTCCTTCTTAATTTCCTGTTGTATAGGTCCAATTTGTGACTCCTCAAATTCATCTTCTTCTTTATCGGGTGATTTTTCCATTTTTTATATTATCACTTTAAACTATAAACTAACACTTAAACACTACATCACTACACTAAATCTCCTGTCCTCACGATTTAAAAAAATAGGGAGTGAAATATTTTATTTACAAATTTCGGTTCGTATAATTGATGTGGACCTTAGAATTCAAATGTTTATTTTGACTTCTAACACAATACACGAAATTCACGACCGTTAATCTTGTATGCGATTTGAGTATTTGCAAGTTCGAACGGGTAGATAAGAAACTTCCCGGTCGGCTTCACAAAAGTGAGTTATTTCCTTCACTTGATTAGTTGCTCTCTCTCCCTCTCTCTCTTGGCACGCGTCTCGTCAAACGCCGATTGTTGTGCACCAGCTATAAGCGCACACACACAAACGCTCGTGCTCACGTACACTAATGTAAACGCTGCTCTGTCAATTCATTATATTTAAAACAAAATTTTTATATGATTGTTATATTAACGCTTTCCGTTGACAATATCGCATTTCAAAAAATAATAAAATCATGTTTGGATCTCAGTTTCATACAATTATATAAAAATTTCCGGGTAATATAATCGTATTTCAAATTAAATTTAAATTCACGAAAAAAATGAAATATAAATTCGTTTTTAATTGTTTATTTTTTAATGTTTATTATTATTGTTTCTTATTTTTTAATGATCAATAACTGATTTATAATTATTAAAAAAATAAATGAATTTTTAGAAAATAATAAAACTAGAAACATTAATTTTATATATATTATTTTATTCTGTATCATGTATTTATAATCTTTTTATTTTCTTTACTTTTTATTTTGTGAATAATTATTAATCACTATTAATCTTAAAAACATATAAGGGAAATGTGCGCGCTCAAACGCATTATTATTATTATTATTATTTAGTAAGCAAAACTGACTTTTTTTAGTAGAAAGTGATGAAACAACTAATTCAATAGTAACAGATGATGCTACTAATTGAATTTGTAAAATTTTTACTATAATTTTCTTAATTATTTCTTTTTTGGGCAATTTTAAAATTCAGAACGAAATCTTTTTGAGGGATCTACTTTCGGTCATTTGCAAATTATGGTAAAAAATATTTTAACAAACTGAAATTTTACTACACTGAAAAAAAATTTATTTGATTCAAATACTTCAAATTATTTGAAAAATATTTAATTGGTTTAAAACAATATATGTATTTGACTTAAATAACTAGAATTATTTGAATCACATTTATTTGAAGCAAATATATTGTATTTGGTTCAATTAAATAATTAATTGAATTGAATAAATGAATTTATTTAATACAAATAATGAGTTACTTGCAACTATTAATTTATTTATTTCACTCAAATATTTCGTTTTTTTGATACAATAAATTTATTTTATTGATTCTAATCAACTAAATTATTTAATGTTAATACACTATTTTATTAAACAAAAATAAAATATTTTGCTCAATGAAATATTCAAGTGTAATGAGAATAATGAGTTATTTGATACTATTCATTTATTTATATATATTATTTAATATTCTAAGTCCAAAAGACAAATATTTTTTTATCGACAAAAAATTAATGTTCACAATAATTGAGAACAACAAAAAACATGTTTTTAATCAAAATATATTTCACTTTTTTGAAAATTCACCTGGGATGATTCATGATAATAATCATAAAGCATATAATTAATTATATTTTATAAATTGCATTTAATTGAATAATATAATTTAATATCTTAACTTTAACTAAATGATGTTAAGCACTTTTCTGAGTTAGGTATTTTGCTAGTTTAAATAGAATCAAGAAGTTAACATTCGTTTTCATGTAGCGTGCGTAGCGTAGTTGGTAAAGTGTTAGGCTCATAGTCCATAGGTTGTAGGTTCGATTCCCTTCATGCGATAGATTTTTTATTTCTCAGGTTTGCGTTTAATTATTAATTCTATGAATGAATTAGTTGAAAAATGAAAATATCCGATCATAGTATGCAGAAATTACAATTTTTTAAATTTTTTATTTAATACTTTTAATCTATATCCGCCAGTTAATTAATTAGAACGTTAATTAATAAATTTAATTTGAGTAAGAATTTAATTTAGAAATGAAAGAATAAAATAAAATAATAATTGCCGCAATTAAAGAGGTTTTAGTTTCAATTAAAACAATTACTTATGATAAATAATCAAACATTTGATTCAAGAAAATTTTTATTTTTTTTCAAGAAAAATATTTTATTGGTGCAAATAAATATTTATTTGAATCAAAAGACATGCAGTATTGAATGAAATAATTTTCATAATTGATTCAAATAATTATTTATTAGCTTTGAATATTTCGCATTTATTTTTTTTTATTATCTGAAATAAAAAATTATTGTATATAATTAATTTCTTTATAGGATATACAGAATACCTTTTCTTTGAATATATATTTTATAAATGATATTATTTTATTTATTATTTATATTTATATTATTTATATTTATATTTATATTTATATTTATATTTATATTTATATTTATATTTATATTTATATTTATATTTATATTTATATTTATATTTATATTTATATTTATATTTATATTTATATTTATATTTATATTTATATTTATGATACTATTTACTTGTCATTCCGCATAATTAAAATTCTATTTGAAAAAATTCTGAAAATAAAATTCAAGAAACATATCTTGGTTTGTTGTCATTTTCAAGGGCAAAAAGTCTCATATACGCTTCTAATGCCATCGTGCAGCCGTGCACGCAGATTGGCTGCGGACCCGAATTCCTGAACAGCGATTGGAGGAAATAACCCTACTTTTCGCTCGCGTCCACGCGTCATCACAGATATCGTTGTTTTTGGGTGGTTTTGGCTATTTTAGACAGTTTGTCGTCAATCTACAAGTGAAAAGGAGTAGTTCTCCAGTTTTATAGTGAAAAAAAGCAAGTCGAAACCCGCATGCCTAGGAGAAGTGCAGGAAGAAGCCCTGCTGTGAAAAAGGGAAAAAACACACCCAAGAAAGTAAGTCATTATTATTTAATAAAAATTCAATTTAAAACTTTAAATGACTTTAAACTCCCAGTAAGCAAAAAATTTTCATTGTTAATAAAACGTTCGTTAAACGCTTTTGAAGTGTTTTAAAAATTATGGTTTTTGCCAACTGGATTACATTTTAAGGATTACTTTTTTTTCTGTTGTAAAAAATTGTTTTTAAATCTCTCCTTTTAAAAGTTTGTACTTCTCAATTATGTTTTCTTGATTTAAGTAATGTAGATTCTGTTAGATAAAATTTTCTTATTAAATGAATGGCCGCGTAGAAAAAAATTTTCAAAAATAAAATTAAATTTTTGAGAAATTAGATTTTTTTTCAAAAAAATGATGTTCTTTTGTAATATTAAAAACATTTCAAAGATTTTTTTATTTTTCTTTAATATTTTTTAAAATATTTTTTTAAATATTTTTTTTAAAACATTAATCAAGTTAAAAGAAAAATAATTAAAAACATGATAATGTGAAACAAATAAAGAAAAAAGAATGAAAAAAAAATTTGTAAATTTTTGTAACTCTGCAAAATATCTTTTTTCGTAAAACAGAAAATAAGTGTCTCTTAGTTTTTCGGAAAAACAATTAAAATTATATATTAAAAGCATGATTTTAAATTACAAATTAATTTAAATGATTTAAGATAGAAATAGCAAGCAGTTTTGTTTATTGGAAGGTGCATAAATCAATTGTGAACAAAAATTTTAGAATATTGATTTGACAGAATTGTAATCAGTCGAATTTTACTTGATCATAATATGAAATTGTTGAAATTGTAGTTTTAAAAGATTTCTATCTAATTAAGTTTTATTTTTTTAAAAATTCAATTTGTGCAAAACATTTTTATTACTTTTTTTTCGTAGAATTTGAATAATGCAGAATTGTAATTAAATAGAATTTAAATATTTTAGAATGAAAATTTTGTAGAAATCTACTTGATCTAAATTAACATTTGTGTCCTGACGCGGTGAAAGGGACCTTATGGTACAATAGCAAATTGTACTTTTGAATGTTCATAATAAAAAATGAATTGAACAAAATAATTTCTAGTTTTTGGAAATGAAAGAGCAACTCAAATAATTTGATTTCCAAAAATTACAAATTATTTTGTTGAATTCATTTTTTATTATGAACATTTAAAGTACAATTTGCAATTGGACCATAAGGTCCCTTTCACTGCGTCAGGACACATTTGTTGAAATACTAATTTGTCAGAATGCTAATTCGATTGAAAATTAATTTGCACCGAAATATTTCTGGCAAATTAATTTTTCATTAAATTGAATTTCTGACAAATTAATATTAGATAAATGTATATTGCGATAAGGTAGATTTTTATCACAATATTTTTTTTCAATATTAAGATACTATTTACTTGCCATTCCGCATAATTAAAATTCTATTTGAAAAAATTCTGAAAATAAAATTCAAATTTCTATCTAATCAAAATATTAACAAATTCGCTGTAGAGTTTATAATATCATCTTTTACTTATTCTAATCAACGGATTCACTATAATTAACATTTATAATAATGAGTGTAAAGTAAATTTTTTCGCATTCTGTTATTTTTAAACAAAGTAATGTTAAAAAATTACTTTCGTTCTAAACTTGCGTCACAAAAATTCAGTATATTTTGTTGCATTACTCGGAGTAATTAGTAAATTAATTGATTTATTAAAAAATTAATACTTATTATAAAATAATTATTCATTATTATTATTCTCGCTTCCCTTCAAATTAAAAAAAAAATTTGCATGAGTTACATTGAAAGTTATCAATAATTAATCGAAAATTTTATTATAGGGTTTAGTGGAATATTTACGTCAACTAATTTAAAAAAGAACAATTTTAATGAAATAAATTTAATAATAGATCTATTCAAAAATACTTAAATATTTGTTAGAGGGCAAATCACGATTTAAAAATTTTGAGTGAACATTAATGACAAATAATTAATTTTTTTTGTTATATTAGAAGCTTTTATATAAAATAAAAAATAATTTAAAATTCTTTTTAATTTTTTTCATTTTACAACTATTAAATAAAACTAAATAGCGATAAAATAAATAAAGGAAACTATTAGTGGAAATAAATTTATTTATTTAGTATACTCTTCCTAAGGCCTTTCAAGATACAAATTTATCTGACTTGTAAATTACATATAATAATCGTGAATATCTTTCGTTCATTCTGTTCACACCTGAAGTTAGTATTTGTTATAGGTCTTTTGTTTTTTTTAAATGTATTGTTTGACATTTTTAAAAATTTTTCAATGTTTTTTTTGGCATTGTTTCGATAATTAATTTTGAATAGAAATTTTAAAAAATAATTGAATTTTATTTTATTTTAAATTGAAAACTTGGTAAATAATTGAATTTTAAATTGAAAATTTGAAAATAATTTAATTTTAGTTGATTGTTGATTGAAAATTTGAAAATAATTAATTTTAGTTGATTGCTGATGGAAAATTTTGATAATAATTAATTTTGACTCGAAATTTTGGAAAATAATAAAATTTTAATTGAAATTTTGGATAATAATTTAATTTAAGTTCATTTTTAATTGAAAATTTCGATAATTAATTTTGAATAGAAATTTTAAAAAATAATTGAATTTTATTTTATTTTAAATTGAAAACTTGGTAAATAATTGAATTTTAAATTGAAAATTTGAAAATAATTTAATTTTAGTTGATTGTTGATTTTAAATTTGAAAATAATTAATTTTAGTTGATTGCTGATGGAAAATTTTGATAATAATTAATTTTGACTCGAAATTTTGGAAAATAATAAAATTTTAATTGAAATTTTGGATAATAATTTAATTTAAGTTCATTTTTAATTGAAAATTTCGGGTAATAATTGAATTTTAATTGAAATTTTCGATAATAATTTAATTTAAGTTCATTTTTAATTGAAAATTTCGATAATTAATTTTGAATAAAAATTTTAAAAAATAATTGAATTTTATTTCATTTTAAATTGAAAACTTGGTAAATAATTGAATTTTATTTCATTTTAAATTGAAAACTTGGAAAATAATAAAATTTTAATTGAAATTTTGGATAATAATTTAATTTAAGTTCATTTTTAATTGAAAATTTCGATAATTAATTTTGAATAGAAATTTTAAAAAATAATTGAATTTTATTTTATTTTAAATTGAAAACTTGGTAAATAATTGAATTTTAAATTGAAAATTTTTAAATAATTTAATTTTAGTTGATTGTTGATTTTAAATTTGAAAATAATTAATTTTAGTTGATTGCTGATGGAAAATTTTGATAATAATTAATTTTGACTCGAAATTTTGGAAAATAATAAAATTTTAATTGAAATTTTGGATAATAATTTAATTTAAGTTCATTTTTAATTGAAAATTTCGATAATTAATTTTGAATAGAAATTTTAAAAAATAATTGAATTTTATTTTATTTTAAATTGAAAACTTGGTAAATAATTGAATTTTAAATTGAAAATTTGAAAATAATTTAATTTTAGTTGATTGTTGATTTTAAATTTGAAAATAATTAATTTTAGTTGATTGCTGATGGAAAATTTTGATAATAATTAATTTTGACTCGAAATTTTGGAAAATAATTGAATTTTAATTGAAATTTTGGATAATAATTTAATTTAAGATGATGTTGAATTAAAATTTCGGGTAATATTTGAATTTTATTTAATTTTAAATTGAAAACTTGGTAAATAATTGAATTTTAAATTGAAAATTTGGAAAAGAATTCAATTTTATATATAATTTAATAACATATAATAATAATTTTCATTATTATCATTTAATATGAAATAATATTCTAATAAATTTAAATTATTATTGATAATATTAATCTTTAATTTCTTTATAACAAACAATTAAATACTCAATTTGGCGCGCTTGCGCGCGTTTAATATTGCTAGTTTGTTATTAATACTAAAAGGGATTATTTTAAAGTGACAAATTTAATTATAGTTATATTTTAATAAACTAACATTTTTAAAAGCATAGTTAAATGACCAAACAAATAGGAACGATAAATCGAAATTTTTTTTAATTGTAAAGAGCACGAGACATGGACCTTTAATTTTTTCAAAAAGAATTAAGTTTAAAGTAAAGCGAGCAGTCTAATAAAATGTAATTAAATTGGCGACTTTTTTTATTCTAAGCAATAAAATTCCATAAAATACAAATTCGTTATTTTTACAAAAATATTTTAAAATAATTTTCCCAAATATTAATTTGATCTAATCATAATATTCTTACAATGTGCAGTCAAAAAAAGAAGAGAAAATGGACCAAGGTTCGCAACAGGGGCAACTGGTGCAACAGGGAATCTCACAACAGGATCAACAGTTGCAAGGATCCCAACCGCAACAAATTCAACAAGGGCAACTTGCTCTGCATCAACCGCAGGTGTATCAGGGGCCTCCACAACAACAACTGCAATTACAGCAGGGGCTTCCAATTCAGCAACAACAACTGCAGCAGGTGGTTCCAATTCAGCAACAGCAACTGCAGCAGGTGGTTCAAATGCAACCACAGCAGGTGTTTCAAGGACCCCCGCAAATGCAGGTTCAAGAGCAAGGATTCCAACAACAGCTGCAACAAAAACCCCTACAGCAGCAACAACAATTGCAGCAAGGACTTCCGGTACAGCAGGGACAAATTTAATTTAATTTTAAATTTTATTTAATTTAATTTATTTAATTTTAAATTTTATTTAATTAATTTTAATTAAATTAAATTTCGGTACAGCAGGAACTTCCAATGCAGCAGTCTCAGCTGCATCAGGAATCTGCACAACAGCAGTTCCAGCTACAACAGGGTCTTCAACAACAGCTACAACAAGGGATTCCACTTCAGCAATCGCAAATATATATACAGGGACCCCCACAACAACAACTGCAGCTAGTCCAGGGACAACTGTATCGGAGACCTCCAGCAGAGCAAATCCAGGTGAACCAGGGACTTCCTTCACAGCAATTTCAACCTTATCCAAGACCTCTGCAACAACTGAAAACGCTCCAGGGACCTGAACAACAGTATCTGTATTCAGCTGCAGTTCAACAACAGCAAGGACTTGGAGGAAAACAGCGAGAATTTCAACAACAATCGCTACAACTGGAAAAAGAGGATCAACAGACTGGAGATTTGTTGCATGTGCAGCAATTGGAAGAAGCTCGTTGCAATAAATCCGACACAACGCAAAAGCGCTACTTTCAAAGCGTGCAATACCAAACTCGTAGCAACACAATGCACAACGTAAGCAGTTTTTTTCAATTTTTTCATTTTTATTAATAAAATCTACTCTTTCTCTGGTATTTTGTTTTATTTTTTTTTAACATACACAAATTTATAAAAACTCTTCCATTAAAATTTTTAAAAAATTACATTGAATATTAAAAATTAACTTCTTTACAATAAATAATATGTGAAATCTTGAGTTTTTATATCTAAATCGAGAAATATTTTTTTTATCATCTGTACTTTACAATTTGTAAAGATTCTAAATTGGAACAATTTGCACAAATTGAACTCTGAAAATTATTAGAAAAAAATTTTTTTAATTTAGAGCGCATGAAAAAAAATTTGTCGAAAAAACGTCTAAAACAAATTTGTTAGAAGTTGTATTTGATAAAATTTTTATTAGCTTAATACTAATTTCTCAGAAAATCAATTTAGTCGAAACTTAATTTGTCTAAAAATGGATTTGATCGAGTTTTCATTTACCTGACATTCAGTTTGACCAAATTTACTTTTTTTCGAAACATTGTTTTATAGAATATCAATAGTGCAGAAAATAATTTAAAAGAAATCTAATTTACCAGAATGTATATTTGTTTAAATGTTTTTTTCCCAAGAATTTAATTTGCTCGAAAATTAATTTGGCAGAATCCAATTTGATCAAATTTTCATTTGCCAGAAAGTCAATTTTATCGAATTTTAATGTACAAAAAATTAAATTTGATTTTTTATAAATTAAATTTTTTATAGATTTTTAATTTAACAATATGGTAATTTAATAAAAGATAAATATACCAAAAAAAATTTAATAGAAATCTACTTTATTAAAAAGTAAATTTATTCGAATGTTAATTTGCCAGAAATTTATTTTCACCGAAAATTAATTTGTCAGTAATATTTCGGCGTGAATTTAAAAATTGACTAAACACAATTTTCTTGATAATTTTTGGTCAATTTTTAAATTCGCCCAAAACGATTTCTATCAAATTAATTTTATGTGATATTGAATGTCTCAAACAAATATGCATTCCCGTAATGTAAATTTCCAGTAAATTTTTTTTCTGCAATGTTGACATTTTATGAAATTAAAATTCTTTTAAAAAAAGGTTGAGCCCAAATTAATATTTGATCAAATTAAATTTCTGCCAAATTAAAATTCTATCACAGTGAACTTTTGTCAAATTAAAATTTCCTCTAATTGATTTTCAGACAAATTATAATTCAATCAAGTTATCTATTAGACAAATTCATATTATAATGATTTAAATTGTATCAAATATAACTTTTAACAACTTTAATTTATAGCTTATTTAAGCTCAGTCCCCCAAATGTTATCATAATTTTTTTTAACTAAGTTTTGTCCAACTTATATTCTTAATATATATATAAACGAATCGATTGATTTACACAAAGTATATATTGTATTTGAATTTATAAAAATAATCTTTCATTTTTAACTGTAAGAAAATATAAATTTTAAACAATAATTTTTTTGCAGCAAATCAAGAAATTCGAGGATCGATTGACAGAGGTCGAAAAACAATTAAAATTTTTGAAATTTACCGTCACTGATTTGGAGAGAGATAGAGAGAGGGAGAAGGAAAAAGCTCGAGAGAGAGAAAGACAATTCGAAAAGGAAAGAAGAAATCGATATTAACGTGCTCAAATTTCATTTTTATTTTTATTTAATTTTTTTTATTAGTAACGCTGATTTTCTTCGATGTTGAAAAAGGTTCAACTCCCTGATGACTTTTAACTAAAAATGTGTTTTGTTATTTAAGATATATCCCATGTTATTAGTCAAAATTTTTTCTAAGCATTAATCATATCTTAATATAAATTGTCTATTATTTCCAGAATCAATTTTTTAAAATTCTTAGTATCCAGAGAAAGAGTTTACACTATTTTATTTGACAAATTTGTAATTAGAAATCAAAATTTCATAGACTTTTAAATTTACTTTTCTCACAATTTTTTAATACAATATCTCTCGCGAGATTTTTTTTAAAATTATTTAATTTAAACGAATGATGGTTAATTCTTTTTAGAAAAATATTCTTGTCATCTTCACCGAACGAATTAACGAAAAAGTTAACTCTTTCTCTGGATAATTATCTTTATATTGTGTTCATGTATTTTAGAAAAGGTTCAACCTTGTGATATGACCTCAAACTAAAAGCGGGTTTTGACCATTTAATGTGTCAAAGCTTTTTCTAAGTATTTTTTAGCATATAAGCGTTTTCTAACGAAGCTGAAGTACGCAACGTTTATGATAAACGATTTTTAAAAAAATAATTTTTTAAAATGAAAAATTCTATAATTTTTTGCCTAAAAAATATTTTTTTATAATTTGTTTATTAATGAAAACTACAAGAAATATTTTTTAGGCGAAAAATTATAGAATTTTTCATTTTAAAAAATTATTTCTTTAAAAATCGTTTATCATAAACGTTGCGTACTTCAGCTTCGTCGTTTTCTAAGCATATGATATAATAAATGTTGCCAAAACGTTTGAATTAATAATAAATAGCTTTTTTATTCTACCAACCCTAATGCCAATATAAAAAAATATATTTATTTACACCCAAAAAAAAGTAATCTTATACTTAGAGGAAAATTCCTCTTCTAATATCCTCTAAATATTTCCTCTTAAAACAAGATTATTCAATTGAAATGTAGAATATTTTTATTCTTCATTTTAATGGAAGAATGACAAAAGGATTCCTTTTGTATTTTCCTCTTTAATTAAGATTTTCCGTTTTAAATTTAGAAGATTTAAAAAAAGGAAACGGAAAAAAATAATGTAATCGTTTGATCCCTTTCCCTGGGTATGATAGTTGTGAAGTTGTTTTTTAACCTTTCAGTTTTAATATTTCTGGTAAAATGTCAACAAAAAGGACAAAAAATGGATTTGCTTTATTAAAAATACAGAAAATATAGTTAAATTCAAATTAAATGAATATTTTTAACGCTATTTTTAGATTTAAAAAAATTTGAATATTTCTTGTGAAATTTTACTACTCAGGTAAATAGAAATACTATAACCCCATTTTTGAATCTTTCGAATTTTTTAAATCTTTTTATTTACTTTTTTAAAAAAGTTTTAAAACGTTAAATAATTTCATATATGAAATTTTTTTCTGTCCTATAAAAAATGTTAACTTTAAAACATATCATCATGTTTTAAAATTATTTTTGCGCTGAAAATCTCGTTGATCATTACAACTGATTAATGAAAACTTATTTTTTGTATTTTAATTATCAATATAAAATGTTGATAATTAACCAAAAACATGACATTGTTAATGTTATATTAAAAAACAATTTTTATTATTATATTGAAATGAACTATTATAATTTTACTTAATTTTAATTTAAAAATGTATTTTCTGCAAAGATTTTATTATTTGATTGAAATTATAAATATTTTATTGATGGCTTTGACATTAAAAACAATTTTACGAGGTTTGGATGTCGACATTTAATTTAAGAGGAAAATCCTCTTAAATGAAGAATAATAATTTTGATACCAAAATTAAGAGGAAAATATGCATTTATTTTAGAGGAATCCTCTAGATTGAAAATTACTTTTTTTAGGGTGTAAAAAATCTTTTAAAACTCATCTATTGACATCTTTGTGAACTTTTTATATTTAATATCAGAACATATTGACGTTTTAAAAATAGAAAACCTTGAATAACTTAATTTGGTGTAGGTTTTTCTTCTATGATTTTGCATTTTTCATGAGAATTTTAATGGTTTTAGAATAATTTTTTTAGAAAATAGAAATTTTTAAATTTTAAGAACGTTAACTATGGATAAAATGATAAATTTTTCACTAATAGGTCAAAAACGCGTTTTTAGAAAACTATAGGAAAGAAATACAAAAGTATTTATAGGTGTCTAAATATTTTTTTTAATATTGGGTGAAAAACGTTTTTTTCTTTTTCCTAAAATGTTTTTAAATTTTAGATTGAATAACAGTAAAATCTAATATATCAAATGAAGTATTTTGAAAAACTTAAAAAATAAAAATAGCAGAAAAGTATTTTTAGGTGTCAATGCACTTTGTTGGATTTACGGGCCAACATTTTTTAAAATTTATAAATGCAAAAAAACAACGGTTAGTTTACAATTAATTTGGGTAAAAGTGCTTTTATTTTATGAAAAAAATGCGGAAAAAGAAATATAAAATTAAATGAATTAATAATAATTATTATACGAATAATTTCAATAATATTAATTTAATTAATAATTAAAATCGTAAATAAAATTTTATTTTATTTAACTGTCGTTTTGAGGTTATGTTGTTTTGTTTTCCAATGCAATTTTCCTCGTTTTGTGAATTGTATACAAGAAATAGTATAGTTTTATACTAAATAATCAATATTTATTGCAATTTTTACAGATAAACTTCACTGCTCAACTCATACGTTTATTATTTGTTTCTATCTTCAATTTTATTTTTTTAACTCACACTACAAAAGGAAATATATGCATGTTCGTTTTATTTCACTTATTCACAAAACTTATAATGAGATTCACTCCACTATATCACTAATTACAAAAATTTAAAAAGCAACATATAATAAATATGCATTTTAGTTTTTTCAATAAAAAATATTCAATATGCATTTTTAGTTTTTTAATTATAAATAAAATCTCGTATGACATTTTAACTCCTTTAAAAACATATTCTACATTACCGACCGCTTGTAATATCTCGCGTGAGGCGCTGCTCTGATCTTCCTCGAAGATAACAATTACAGCGTTTTGATAAAAAAACATTTTTTTAACAAAATACTCCAAAATGACCGAAATTCCGCGCATTGAAATGTCTTTTTTTTCCCCTCAAAATATCTTCCTAAAATATTTTATCGTTTAGGAGAAATCCGTCCAAAACCTTTTGGTGTAGGATAGTAGTTTTCTACTCATACAACTTCGATCAATTACCATCGCACATATACTTCACGTGTCAAATTATAAATATAAATTAAAAATTTTTTAAACAAATTATAAATACTTGCCAGGAAACTCTAGATAAACATGTCCTTTTTCATTTCCTACAAAAGTTTTTGCAAAATTCCTTTCTGATTAGGAGAAATCTGTCTATGAATAATTTAATCAATAATAATTAATTAAAAATTTTTTAAACAAATTATACAATACTTACCAGGATACTTTAGATAAATATGTCCTTTTTCATTTCCAAAAATTAATTTTTGAAAATTTCTTTCTGTTTAGGAGAAATCCGTCTAAAAAAATTATCGATTTTTTTCTCAAACCTGAATAACATGACCTTAAATATCCCCTCAGAATATACCAAGAATCTTTAATTTTAATATTTAACAGAAATTCAAATCCAATATTCAGCCAACCTCTGTAACTGACCTTTATTATGCGCGGACATTTAAACATCAACTCAACCTCGTTTGGACCTCGCGACTAAAGTTCCCGAACCTCGTCAAGCGAAGTTCAGTCAAGGTTCAGGGAAGTTTCGGTGCTGTCCGGGCTAGCGCACAACTTGCTTTTTTCCATGTTGTGAAAGAAAAATCACAAAAAAAATGTTCACATAATATTTCGATTCCAATGTAAAAAGGTAATTTCTGTGATTACAAACAAAAACCAATAGTTACTTTTGTATTTAACTTAATTTAAGTTTCTTACTGTTATTTTTCGTTTCGACTTATGTTTTTTATACTAATAAATGTGTTATGAAAGACAAAAATAGTCCGTTTTTCATTTAATAAGTCATATTTTCATTTTTATTACAAGTCATTGTATATACAATGACGTCATTGTTACACTTAGACGTTTCGGAATCTCACACGTATTCCATTCTCAATAATCTGTAAATTAATATATAATTATCATCTCACTGACATTTTTAATTGTTTTTTCATTTTAAGTTTTTTAGTTGAATGTCCATGTAAGTATAAGTATAAGTTGGAAAGTATAGAAACGATGTAACAATTAAAAATGTCAGTGAGATGATAATTATATATTAATTTACAGATTATTGAGAATGGAATACGTGTGAGATTCCGAAACGTCTAAGTGTAACAATGACGTCATTGTATATACAATGACTTGTAATAAAAATGAAAATATGACTTATTAAATGAAAAACGGACTATTTTTGTCTTTCATAACACATTTATTTTGTATTTAACATTATAATTTTTCGTGAAAAGTGGTTTTTAAGGCTGAAAACGTCAAAATTTCACCTGTCCCCACAGGATGTTTAAACAAAAAAGTTAATATTTTTAGGAAAAAAAGTGTACTAATAAATACAATTTCTGTTGCTATTTTAGTATTGTATATTGTATTGGAATTGAATAGAAAAAACGTTTGATCAAAAACATAATTATTTTCTTTTTTTGCTATTTATATTTGACTGCACTTTTGTGTGTTATTCTGCGTTTTATTATTAAACATTGAATTATATAAATAAAAGTCAAATGTTAATCTAGTTCACGGAAAAAAAGAAAAAGTAATTTTTACTACTTTCATAGTAAAATTGGACCTGTCCGAAGTTTCTGCGCATCTCTGGCAACTTTTACTCAAAAAATAGTAAAATTTACTATTTTTGTAATAATTTTTACTATTTCTGGAGTAAATTTTACTATTTCTGGAGCAAATTTTACTATTTTTGGAGTAAAAGTTGCCATAGATGCGCAGAAACTTCGGACAGATCCCATTTTACTATGAAAGTAGTAAAAATTACTTTTTCTTTTTTTTCCGTGTTCTATTTCAGTAACAGCA